GCAGATTCGGTGGTTCATGGATTGAATTTGGATCTGCAGATCTGTAGTCTGAATCTTGTTGATTATTCACGTCACTTACCGGTCGTGCTCACGAAGTCTGAGCAGTAGCCAGTGATATAGTTTTGACAATATGGGTTACATATTTATTTTGATGCAATATCATTGTAAACATACAAGTCCAGAGTTTAAAATGAAAAGCCGGTTACAAGGTCGAGTTCTTTATAATCGCTATAAGGTGATGGGCCAGTCGAGTACCAGTTACCTAGTGAATACCCTATGTATGAGTCATGCTTCACACTTTTATTGATTTTGTAGGACTTATTATGGTTTGTTTGTTTTGATTCACTTATGCCGCAATAGTGTTTCTGATGATAGTAACAACGCACCGCTTTAAAACGGTGTCGTTGACGAAGGCTACTGCATCCAGATTTCATAACATTGTTTTATGACCAGTTGCTCTTCCATCAGACCATCACCCTGGTTGGCGCTGGGTCTGCAACAATGTTTTCCTAATAAGAGACAGTGCGGCTCATGAATGTGTTTTTATTTGTTTCAATTATGTTTTTAGCAGTAAGCATTGAACATTTGGGGAATGTTTTAGTAATGGGCATGTGCGCATATGTTAATTTTTTCTACATGCACATCACGTTTTCTATTGGTACGTGCGGTCACCTCATCATTGTTAGAGTTATAATATAAGTCATGTACCCCTTTATATTTATCTCGTTGTATGAGGGGTTTCCTGCATATGTTCCACACCTGTACATGTATATATATATATCGGCCTATGGCCTCATGGGAATACAAGTTGCATATTCCTAACATGGTATTAGAGCTAGGTCAATTTTTTTGCACGCTGCAACTCGTGCTTTTGATCCGTCTGTTCGATCGAAGCAATCCGCTCGATCTCCTCTTCGTCTCTCGATCGAGGCAGGGGGCTCGTCCGCAGGAGCCCCCGATCTCCTCTTCAGCCAGCCGCTAGCAGGGCTTCTGCTGCCGGCCCCGTCCCGATCGGGCGTCTTCCAGCCGCTCGGCTGCCGGCCCGTCCCGCTCCCGTCCAGCCGGCGCTCAGGAGCCCCCGATCTCCTACCCAGCCGCCCGTCCCGCTCCCGTCCAGCCGGCGCTCAGGGAGCTCGGCTGCTGGCCTGTCCCGCTCGGGCGCCACCCAGCCGCCCTTCCCGCAGGCGCCCAGGGCGTCAGATCGGCCCAGGGGGCTCGTCCTGCAGGCGCCCTTGATCTCCTCTCCCGCCGGCTTTCGCTGCTCCCGTAGCAGCGCCTGATTCCGATCCGGTCGTTCTCGTCGGATCTAAAAAAAAATGTCTGCTGCATCGGGTTATGTTGCTGTTCCTCGCTGTCCGGTGATCTTTGATGGTACTAACTACACCGAGTTCACTGGCTTCATGCGCATTCACATGCGTGGCATCCGTCTTTGGGGTGTTCTTTCTGGCGAGGTCTGTTGTCCGCCACGTCCAGTTCCTCCGGTGGCCCCTACCCCGCCAACTCCATCGGTTCTTCCTACGGATGCTAATCAGGCTGCCAAGGATGCGGCTAAGGTTGCTGATGAGGTTGCTGATCGTGCTTATGATGAGAGGGTTTTGGCTTATGAGGAGGCTCTTCAGTTGTATCATGGTGCTCTGTCTGCTTACCCCAGTGGCTTGATGATGATGCTCGTGCTGCAGCTGTTCTCACTGCTAGTGTTCTGCCTCAGTTTGCTTCTGAATTTCTGGGTCTTTCTACTGTCTTTGAGATGTGGACCCGTCTTCGTGAGCGCTATCAGCCCTCTGGTGATGCCTTATACCTCTCTGTGATCCGCCAGGAGCATGCTCTTCAGCAGGGTGACTCTACTGTTGATGACTTCTATGCACAGAGTTCTGCTATCTGGCATCAGCTTGATTCTCTCCGTAGTGCTGGGTGTCGTACCTGCCCCTGTTGCCAGGCTGTCCAGGCCAATTTGGAGTTTCATCTCGTCTATGAGTTCTTGTCTCGGCTTCGTAAGGAGTTTGAGCCCCGGCGTGCTCAGTTGTTTGCTCGTGGCCGTATTTCTCTCATGGAGGCGCTTTCTGAGATTCGTGCAGAGGAGACTCGCTTACGTGGTGCTGGTTTGCTGGAGGTTCCCTCTGTGCTTGCTATTCGTGCTCCTCCGCCACCTGCTCCATCGACCACTTCTCGCTCGAGTGCTCCGCCGCTCTTGCCCACTCCTTCTGGAGGCTCCGGTCGCCCCCGTCCACACTGCGCCTATTGCAACAATGATGGTCATCTTGAGTCTCAGTGCTACACGAAGAAGAAACACCTGCGCAAGGCTCGATCATCATCTTCAGGGACTTCGTCGTCTACCTCGACAGCTTCAGCCATTGCTTTGACTGAGCAGGATATTCTGAGACTTAAGCGTCTGCTCGCGGCTTCAGGTTCTTCCTCGACGGGTACTGCCGGTTCTGTGACTGATGCTTCCCGCACTGAGCAATCACCCTCTACACAGTCAGGTACATCCCCATGGGTTCTGGACTCTGGAGCTTCTTTTCATATGTCTTCTCATTCCTCCACTTTGTCCTCTCTTCGATCACTGGATTCTCCTATTCATGTCTTCACTGCTGATGGTACTCCACTTTCTGTTGCTAGTAGAGGCAATCTTACTACTCCTTATTCTGTTCCTGATGTTGCTCATGTTCCTCGACTTACCATGAATTTGTTTTCTGCTGGTCAACTTACGGATTCTGGTTGTCGTGTCATCCTTGACGTTGACTCTTGTTCTGTCCAGGACCGTCACACGCACACTCTGGTTGGGGCTGGCCCTCGCCGCCGTGATTCTCAGGGTCTTTGGGAGTTGGACTGGCTTCATGTTCCTTCTGCTGCTACCACCATCGCCAGTTCTTCCGCTTCTGTTGCCTCTGTCACTGGTTCCTTCCAGCAGTGGCATCATCGACTTGGTCATCTGTGTGGTTCTCGGTTGTCTTCTTTAGTTCGTCGAGGCCTTCTGGGGTCTGTCTCAGGAGATGTCTCTTTAGAGTGTCAGGGTTGTCGTCTTGGTAAGCAGATTCAGTTACCATATTCACATAGTGAGTCCGTGTCTAAGCGTCCTTTCGATTTAGTCCATTCTGATGTATGGGGTCCGGCCCCTTTCGCTTCGAAAGGTGGTCATAAATACTATATTATTTTCATAGATGATTTCTCTCGTTACACATGGCTTTATTTCATGACTTCTCGTTCTGAGGTGTTGTCTATTTATAAGCGTTTTGCTACCATGGTTCATACTCAGTTCTCTTCACCCATTCGTGTTTTTCGTGCTGACTCCGCTCGCGAGTATATCTCTAAGATGTTGCGTGGTGTTCTTGCTGAGCACGGGACTCTCTCTCAATTCTCTTGTCCTGGTGCTCATGCTCAGAATGGTGTGGCTGAGCGAAAGCATCGACATCTTCTTGAGACGGCTCGTGCATTGATGATTGCTGCCTCTCTCCCGCCTCATTTTTGGGCTGAGGCCGTCTCCACATCCACCTATCTTATCAATATACAGCCTTCCGCTGCTCTACAGGGTGGTGTTCCTTTCAAGCGACTTTTTGATCGTTCTCCCGATTATTCGATGCTTCGCTTGTTTGGTTGTGTTTGCTATGTTCTTCTTGCCCCTCGCGAACGCACCAAACTGACTGCTCAGTCTGTTGAGTGCGTTTTCTTAGGCTACAGTGATGAGCATAAGGGCTATCGTTGTTGGGATCCTATTGGTCGTCGGATGCGTATCTCTCGAGATGTGACTTTTGAAGAGTCTCGTCCTTTCTACCCACGCCCATCTTCCTCGACTTTTTCAGTGCAGGATATCTCTTTCCTCACTTTTCCTGACTCACCTATCACCCTCGCCGACACTGTACCTCTCCGTTCCACTTCCTCTCCTTCTCCACATCTCGTTGACTTGCAGTCACCTTCCTCCCCGGTCTCCTCGTCTAGCTTGTCACCGGGTTCTCCACCTTCATCTCCGGTGACTTCCTCTCCCAGTTTGTCACCGGATTCTACACCTTCATCTCCGGTGACTTCTTCGTCGTCACCCCCTGATTCTACCTTGCCGATTCCTCCTTCTATTATTCCATCTCTTCCTCAACATTACACTCGTCGTCCATGACCAGTTGATGCCTCTGTGGATGGGTCGTCATCTTTCTCTCAGCCTACTTATGGTTTGCGTTCTCGTCCTCGTCCGCCTGTTGATCGCTTTGGATTTCCCACTGCTGGTGCTGCTGTTCTTGAGCCGACTTCTTACCGTCAGGCTGTTGTTCATCCTGAATGGCAGTTTGCGATGGCAGAGGAGATTGCTGCTCTTGAACGCACTGGTACTTGGGATCTTGTTTCTCTTCCTCCCGGAGTCCGTCCGATCACTAGTAAGTGGGTCTACAAGGTTAAGACTCGCTCCGATGGTTCTCTTGAGCGTCACAAAGCTCGTCTTGTGGCTCGTGGTTTTCAGCAGGAGCATGGTCGTGATTATGACGAGACTTTTGCTCCTGTGGCTCATATGACCACTGTTCGTACCCTTCTTGCCGTTGCCTCTGCACGCCACTGGTCTATATCTCAGCTTGATGTTAAGAATGCCTTTCTTAATGGTGAGCTGCGTGAGGAGGTGTACATGCAGCCACCACCTGGGTATTCTGTTCCTGATGGCATGGTATGTCGTCTTCGTCGCTCTCTCTATGGCCTTAAGCAAGCCCCCCGCGCCTGGTTTGAGCGCTTTGCCTCTGTGATCACTGCTGCTGGTTTTTTAGCAAGTGCTCATGATCCCGCATTGTTTATTCACCTTTCTCCTCGTGGTCGGACTCTTCTTCTTCTTTATGTTGATGACATGATCATCACGGGGGATGATCCCGAGTATATTGCCTTTGTAAAGGCCCGTCTTAGTGAGCAGTTTCTTATGTCTGATCTTGGACCTCTTCGCTACTTTCTTGGGATTGAAGTCTCTTCTACCTCTGATGGCTTTTTTATATCCCAGGAAAAGTATATCCAGGATCTTCTTGCTCGTGCTGCTCTTACTGACGAGCGCGTTGTTGAGACTCCTATGGAGCTCAATGTTCACCTCCGTGTTACTGATGGTGATCCTCTCCCTGATCCGACGCGTTATCGTCATCTTGTTGGCAGTCTTGTCTATCTAGCTGTCACTCGTCCGGACATCTCTTATCCGGTTCATATTCTGAGTCAGTTTGTCTCTGCCCCCACCTCGGTTCACTATAGTCATCTCCTTCGTGTTCTTCGATATCTTCGAGGCACGATCTCTCACCGTCTATTCTTTCCTCGCTCCAGTTCTTTACAGCTCCAGGCCTATTCGGATGCTACGTGGGCTAGTGATCCTTCCAATCGCCGTTCACTTTCTGCTTACTGTGTTTTTCTTGGTGGTTCTCTCATTGCCTGGAAGACGAAGAAACAGCTTGCAGTTTCCCGTTCGAGTGCCGAGGCTGAGTTGCGAGCAATGGCTCTTTTGACGGCAGAGGTGACTTGGTTACGGTGGTTACTTCAGGATTTTGGTGTTTCTGTCACTACACCGACTCTGCTTCTATCTGACAGTACAGGTGCTATCAGCATTGCACGCGATCCTGTGAAGCATGAGCTCACCAAGCATATTGGTGTTGATGCTTTCTATGTGCGCGCTGCTGTGCAGGATGAGGTTATTGCTCTTCAGTATGTGCCTTCCGAGTTACAGTTGGCGGATTTCCTGACAAAGGCTCAGACTAGAGCACAACATGGCTTTTATCTCTCCAAACTCAGTGTTGTTCATCCACCATGAGTTTGAGGGGGGGTGTTAGAGTTATAATATAAGTCATGTACCCCTTTATATTTATCTCGTTGTATGAGGGGTTTCCTGCATATGTTCCACACCTGTACATGTATATATATATCGGCCTATGGCCTCATGGGAATACAAGTTGCATATTCCTAACAATCATTATGTTGGTTTGTGTGGTAACTTTTATCCTCCAGTCTGTACTTTAATTTTCCATGCTTAGTTATTTCATGATGCTGCATATGTAAACTTTGCAGACCTTTTTTCTAACATATGGACCATATTCTAAATCTGCATCTTCCCAAGTTCCACATTTCAGTTCCGTGTGCATATTTGCTTTGTTATATGAAAAGCCTTCACTTACGAAAAATGGTTTATTGGGGAAATGCTAAACCTAGCTAGCTTTTCCACCTTGAGATATATACTGTTAAATATATGCATTCAGGTATGTACGGTATTTGGAGATGCCTTTATATTTCGGTATTTCCTCATTGGTCAAATATATTCCTTGAGTTAACTTTAAATGTATCTTCAATACCTGTGACTTGAGGCAGCAACCGTCTGCTCGCATATTACCATTGATTGATATTTTGTCATAGTTAAAATTTAGAATTTCATTTATGTTCATACCTTTTCAGTATCTTATTTTGGCTTGTCTTTGTACATTGTCTTCATAAGCTTCTATGGTGATGCTCTTAAGATTGATGCTAAGAGGCATATGATGTCAACATCTAATTTCATCTGAATATTCATAGATAATGCTGGATACAGTGGGTCCAGAAATTCAGGTTCACAATTCAACTGGTGGAGCAATCGAGTTGATAGGGGGGAATCATGTCACAATAACACCAGATCTTTCTAAAGCTCCTTCGGCTGATATCCTACCAATTAAATTTGGCGATCTTGCAAAAGTAAGTGAATAATAAAAATAACAATTAGGATATGAAGTATTATAATGCATTATTTGAATTATGTTTATCTCTATGCATTTATATGTCGCTAGGTTCCTTTTGCTCTGTGCAACCACCACTTACATGTTGGCATTAAAGTAAAATTAATAGATTTTATGCAACAAACAAAATCTATTTGACTTCTCTATTGTGCTGGTGAAAGTACTTGGTTGTAAAATTTCTGCTATTTCTGAAATTTACAATTTGGAATATTGCATATTTGACTTTGTTCTCATTCCTTGAGTTCAGGTTGTGAAGAAGGGTGATACTCTTTTCATTGGTCAATATCTTTTCACAGGAAGTGAAACAACATCTCTATGGCTTGAAGTGCGTGAATTCTTAGATTCTCCTCACATATGTGACATTTCCCAATATTGGCATGTCCTTATATACTATAATCTACAGGTTACGGAGACTTCTGGTGCAGAAGTGATTTGTTACGTGAAGAACACAGCTACACTGTCAGGGCCCATTTTCACTCTGCATGTTTCACAAGTACATATCAGTATGCCCACTTTGAGTGAATATGATAAACAGGTAATGTGCACTACTTCTGAGTTTCTGTACAACACTACTCAGATATACACTCTCATAAATCTATCGCTATGTTTTCCTGTACAAAATATTTTGACTAGCTACTTTTTGTAGTAATATAAGGTCCCCAACCATATTTTTTGTTTGTTTTTATCTGTTAAATTTTTTTTCTTACCAATATTTAATGGTATAAAGCTATGACAAGAGATCACTCACGAGACACGCATTACAAGTTAAAACGATGCACAAACCAAACAATCTGTTTCGATCTCATGTTGGATAAAATCGTAAATACAATGGCAACTTGCTTCTTTCTGGCTATTGTTGATCTTTAGTTGCGGTTGAGGATTTGTTAAATAACGTTCTTTAGAAGTTCAACTTCTTCCTCTTTTGTCTCTTTTACTTGCCGTCCTTGAATGTGTGCAATCAGCACTCTAAAACTTTGACAACCAATGTCCACACAAATATTTAGACACGTCACAGAAACTCAATGCCATCATTTTTAATCATATTTTGATAAAATTGAACAAATGTTAAAAGGTACTCCCTCTGTTGATCTGTTCACTATTATACAATATTCTAACTTTGTTCTAAATCGGATGTATGTAGACATGTTTAAGTGTGTTGTTTAACTCATTTCAATCCGTTTCTAGTCCATATTAAAATGTCCAAAAGACCAAAACATCTTATAGTTGTGAACGGAGGGAGTATCTATTAGTCTGTTGGAGGCTCTGTCCAAGTCCAAAACAAGTAAAAGAAAATAGAGGGAATAGTTTATTTCAAGATTGCTTGCACGTAAAATACATATTTGTCGATGCTGTTTTATAAATTCATCCAGGTCATCCTAAGCACTTTTTTCCCCTACAATAGGTCATATCAACGTGGGGGCTGCAAAACAGTGTTGACATTATATCGCTTTCCCATACCCGCTCTTCTGAAGATGTCAGGGAGGTGAGTTTTCTTTTCCGAATCATCCACTCTTGCACCTGAATCATACATATAGTTATTTACACACCTGCTTCTTGATTTCCTTTCCATGGTTTCTGTAATACCTTGTTTAGAGGCTTTTCATGCTCTTATGTGCACTCAACAGAAATTAGATTCTTAGAAGCTTAGTGATGCAAATTGCCAGTCAATTGAGTAGATGGGATTTCATGAATGAGCTCTTGTATGTATCTACAGTTTAGACTTCAAATATGAATCAATTGCCAGTCAATTGAATAGAAGCTTAGTTAGCTGGGGGAACACTGCTGATCCTCAAATATATTTTTTGTGCAGCTTAGAGCCTTTTTAAAATCTCATGATCTTCAAGACACACAGATATATGCGAAGGTTGAAAATGCTGAGGTAACTATCGTTTTTATGATGATACTGTTCTGTTTGTTTCACTTTATATTATGATTAATTTCATCGTGCAGTATTTTATTTCTTTCTAGGGTTTGGAGCATTTTGATGAAATTCTCCAAGAGGCGGATGGTATCATCATATCGCGAGGAGACCTGGGAATTGACCTCCCACCAGAGAGGGTAAATTTTGGTCTTCCTCAAAATACCCAATTTTTGCACCTTGTAAACCCTAAGTGTTATCAGATATGTGTCTAATCATTTCCACTCACGGTGGTGTGTTGCCTTGAAATGATAGTACTAGTTATCATTTTTTACACTATGATGCTATTACATTTTGGGATGGAGGGAGTAGTACAGAAATGTCTGTACAAGAATATCTTTGTTCTTATGGTGCAAGAGTTACCATTTATGTTCTTATCAGTTTAAAGTTAAAACTAACTCATCTAGCTGTTTTAGGCAGCAGATACTTTAGCATCAGTGGATTCCTTCATTGTTGCTTCATTTCATAACCTACAGTTTTGGCTCTTCAGGTGTTCATGTCCCAAAAGACTGGTATTCATAAATGCAACATGGCCGGCAAACCTGTGATCATTACTAGAGTTGTGGACAGCATGATTGACAATCTGCGCCCTACTCGCGCAGAAGCTACTGATGTTGCAAATGCTGTCCTAGATGGTCTGTAAACCTGCATTGTTCTTAGAACTAGTCATATTTGTAGGTACTTATTTCGTATACTGCTCTCATTGCAGGAACTGATGGCATTTTGCTCGGTGCGGAGACACTTCGAGGGCAGTATCCTGTTGACGCTGTGCGTACTGTGGGCAGAATATGTGCAGAAGTACGTTCCTACCTCATTCATTAATAACTTGTGAAATAATATTTTCTCAAATAAAGTACTCTCTAATTAATTGATGCAACTTTAGTACAACTTTGTACTAAAGTTATACTAAAGCTGCGTCAATTATTTTGGATCGGAGGGAGTAATAATAATTAAAAACTCATCTAAATTGACTGGCTGATCAATGATAAACCATTCTTCTAGGCTGAGACCGTGTATAACCAGTCACTTCACTTCAAGAAAGTAGTGAGGCATGTAGGTGAACCAATGGTCCATGAAGAATCTGTGGCATCATCAGCGGTAAATACTTCTAAATCATTAAGCAGGACATATTCTATTGTTATAGGAACATTAATAGCAATCTTTTGTGTACATATAGGTTCGTTCTGCAATGAAGGTAAAAGCTGCTGCAATTGTTGTGTTCACCTTCTCGGGGAGAGCTGCTAGGTGCTCTATACTACACAAGATTAGCACTTGATTAGACATGTTTCTGTCATGCAAATATGCTATCATCTTTACTTGATGCATCGTCTTCTGCAGGTTAATTGCTAAATACAGGGCCCCAATGCCAGTTTTAGCAGTTGTGTTCCCGCGTGAGGGCTCTGATCCATCGAAGTGGCGTTCTTATGGCACGACACAGGTAAGTAACAGGCGTATCTATCTATCTATCTGTATGTGTTTTTCTTTAATGGAATCCGTAAACTTACACTTACTGACTGTTACAGGCGAGGCAATGTTTTTCTGTGAGAGGTGTCTACCCTTTGATGGGGAGTACTGACGATGTATGCACTTCTTACTTGGTGATACCAGAGCAAGTTCTGTTATTTCCAATGTTAAGCATATATGGTGGCTGCGGATGCTTTTTGTTTGGAGATCTACGGTGCAACTATCTCAGAGTTGCGTTGAACTTTCTTATTACAGCTACTCCCTCTGTTCACTTTTGTAAGTCATTTTAGACAGCTGAAATTGAACTTTTTTAGGTGCTGTCTTAAATGTCTAAAACGACTTACAAAAGTGAACGGAGGGAGTATTAACTTTCTAAGTCCAAGCTTATATTTTTGATCTCTAACAGGCTGAAACTGGTGGGCTCACCAAGGAAGAATACGGGATAAAACTTGCACTGAACTATGGCCGGTCAGTAGGCATAATAAAGCCATACGACAGGGTGATTATTTTTGAAAAGATCGGTGATTCCTCTGTTGTCAAGATCATCGAGTGCGACGATTCTGAAAGATGAATGACCCTTCTCAGGCAACAGTTTCAACTATACGCCTGAGATTGCCTCCTCTTTTTGTTCTCCATTCACTTTGACCAGAGATAAAAGAGTAGTATAGCACGACAAGGTTGTCATGTTTAGCACCTTGGTATTTTAGATTTACATACTTGTTGCCCTAATAAAGTGAAGAGAGCTCATTCACTCAAACATCCAAGTTTTGGACAAAATTATAGGATTGTTGAGATAATACCTATGAGTGATTCCTAGCTTGTATTTCATGTTACATAATACGCTATATGACATTATCTGCTATTACCTTGCATATACTGTACCATTCGTGTCTGTAGTCCAGTACTACTATACAGCATCCTTCTGTTCTATCAGTATTGCTCCTTGAAGAAGAGGGCGTAGATGATGCAGCAGATGCTGAAGATGATGATGCCGATGTCGAACGTGAGGGCGGTCATGGCCTGGTCGCTGAGCTCCATGTTCTTCCCGCCAAGGCGATCCACCGTGTCGGGCACGGGCTCGTAGTTCTGGAGGTCGAGCTCGTAGGGGTCCTCGAGGCGTGACCTGAGCTGCTGCAGCCGGCGGCTCTCGGCCTCCTGCGCCAGCGTCCAGTCGTAGAAGCGGCGGCTCTCCTCCTTGCTCAGCACCTTGTACACCTCCCGGAGCCGGATGAACTTCTCCGAGGCCGACTTGAGCGGCAGCCTCGTCGTGTCCGGGTGGTACTCCTTGGACAGCCGCCGGTACGCCGCCTTGATCTCCTCTATGTCTGCACCAGGCGATATTCCTAGGAACCTGGTTTGTACCAGAGTAATCTTGGTGTAGTCAGTTTCAGGCAAGATGGACAAGGGACGTAGCGTGAATTCTGTTAGGCCGAGCTCAACTGGTAGTGTGACTCGGACGGGTTGTTGATGAGGTCGGCGAATCGTCGCCCCATCGGCTCGTCCTTGCGGCCGTCGCCTTCCTTGTTCGCCTTTCCTCCCACCCACCCTTCGTCTGGGTCAGACCAGTGGATCCTTGTGTCCACCGTCTTCTTCTTCCCTGGCCCTGCCGTTGACGAGGACGACGCCGCTGTAGCCTCTGGGGACGGCTCGGCGTCCGCCGTGCTCGCCGCGACGACGAACCTTGCGCGGCGTCGGCTGCGTGCGTCGTGCCGATGGAGGAAGGCCGTCAAGGGGCTAGACGACGCTGTGGATGCCGCCATGAGGCGGCAGCCGTGCAGTACTTCCGAGGAATGAGCACAGGTAGAGGTTACAGAGGAGTTCTGAGGTGCGGTTGTGTTCATGCAAGTTGCGGTGGGGAGCGGATGAGGGCACCACATCGCATTCGCAAAGGTTCAGATACGACGGGCTTCGGGTGTCGTGAGCCACATGTTGACACTGTTTTTTCCCCCGGTAACGAGAACCAGAGGGAAGAAGAAACCAGAGAAATAAATCATGGCCTTGTGAAAATGTTAATTGGTTTCAGTTTGATACGGACCAGATGAACATTGTGAGGCGCTCGTTATTTCTCTACTTCTAAATCCACGTTGTTTTATCTGGGGATAGGGATGAACCGGCCTTCCCGCGAACGAGCATATCTATACCCTGACCGCGGAAAAGAACTGCTTACTGCAATATGGCAGCCATAAATTGTTATATCTTGCTATCGTGTGGCCAAAATAACCTCCATTATATATAAAATCAATTTAGCTACTTTTCAGTCAACTGAGTTTTGAGTTTTGCGTCAGTCGATTTCTGGTCCGTTGGATCGTGATTTGAGATGTGTGCTGTGGGTTTTTTCTGGAGTGCTTTCTGCTATTCATTTGGGCCAGCTAGCGTCGACTGAGCACTAGTTTGGGTCAGTCGATCCGTTTTCTTGCTGGGCTCGTGCGGCTCGCGGGTGGGGAGCGCGCCCGTTAAGAAGCCCGGCCCGTTTCGATGGCACACAGATCATCGCCGCTCTTCTCGTCTTGTCCCCTTCCTCATCTCCTCGTGTTCTCAGTCACTTCGTCCCCTCTCTGCCTCAGTGTCTGGCTTCTCCTCTTCCTGCTCTTTTTTCTTTGCTAGATCTGCTGACTAAGGTGCTTCTGTGTGGTTATCTATGTTGTTTGCAGGACTTTCCAATCGGGCGGTTTGGCTGCTGTAGGATTGCCTTGGCTGCATACCATCCTTTTCCAGGTATTTTGACTTGTTGCCTTTCTCTGCCTTAGTTTATCTTGCTCTGTGGCTTCTTGGGTTGCTGCCACGAGCTAGGATTCTTGCTAGATCTGATTCCTATGCTTTCCGGTGCTCATATTTCTCCCTGTACTTTTTGTTTTCTTGCTACATCTGCTTTGTAACATGTTTTTTGGATCTGTATTGGTTCTTCTCCGCTGGTGTTTCTCTCATGGTTTTTGGATCTGCAGGGAGTTCTTCCAGTGCTTATTATTGGGGCAGAACTTGTCAGATATCTGAATGTTAAGCATTTTTCTGTCTCCTTTGCAGCAATTTCATTAGTCTGTTTTGTTTTTTTACAGGCAAAAAGGGTCGAGCTGAAGACAAGGCATGATACACCAGATGTGAGCAACCTTCAGAAGTGTTGCATGCTTTTATGCTTGGATTTGACATTGCCGATGCCGTTGCCTTACTTCGTCTTGATGACCTGTATGTGGACTCCTTCGAGATCAAGGATGTGAAGACACTCAGAGGGGAGCTTCTGTCACGTGCCATTTCGCGCCTATCAGGGAAAGGAGGCAAGACCAAGTATGCCATCGAGAACTCTACCAGGACTCGCATAGTTTCCGGTGCTCATATTTCTCCCTGTACTTTTTGTTTTCTTGCTACATCTGCTTTCTAACATGCTTCTATTTGTTTATCTGTGGTGTTTGTAGGATTTACCACTCGGCGGATTTCGTTGCTGATGGATTGCCATTGCTGCATCTCCTTTTTTTGCCGGTATTCTTGTCTTTGTTGAATCTTACTGCTTTGGTGGTAGTGCGTGTACTTGTTAGGGAACGTAGTAATTTCAAAAAAATTTCTACATTCACGCAAGATCATGGTGATGGCATAGCAACGAGAGGGGAGAGTGTCCGTCCACGTACCCTCGTAGACCGTAAGCGGAAGCGTTATGACAACGCGGTTGATGTAGTCGTACGTCTTCATGATCCGACCGATCCAAGTACCGAACGTACGGCACCTCCGAGTTCAGCACACGTTCAGCTCGATGACGATCCCCGGGCTCCGATCCAGCAAAGCTTCGGGGATGAGTTCCGTCAGCACGACGGCGTGGTGACGATGATGATGTTCTCCCGGCGCAGGGCTTCGCCTAAACTCCGCGACGATATGACCGAGGTGGAATATGGTGAAGGGGGGCACCGCACACGGCTAAGGAACGATCCGTAGATCAACTTGTGTGTCTATGGGGTGCCGCCTGCCCTCGTATATAAAGGAGGGAGGGGGGAGGCCGGCCGGCCCTTGTTGGGCGCGCCAGGAGGAGGACGCGCCGCCCCCCTCCTAGTCCAATTCGGACCAGAGGGAGAGGGGGCGCGCGGCCCTTCTTGGCCGCCCCTCTCTCTTCCCACCAAGGCCCATGTGGCCCATTAACTCTTCGGGAGGGGAGGGGGGTCTGGTAACCCTTCGGCACTCCGGTTTTCTCCGAAATCACCCGGAACACTTCCGGTGTCCGAACATAGTCGTCCAATATATCAATCTTTATGTCTCGACCATTTCGAGACTCCTCGTCATGTCCGTGATCACATCCGGGACTCCGAACAAACTTCGGTATATCAAAACTTATGAACTCATAATAAAACTATCATCGTAATGTTAAGCGTGCGGACCCTATGGGTTCGAGAACTATGTAGACATGACCTATAACCATTCTCGGTCAATAACCAATAGCGGGACCTAGATGCCCATACTGGTTTCTACATATTCTACGAAGATCTTTATCGACAAAGCGCATAACAACATACGTTGTTCCCTTTGTCATCGGTATCTTACTTGCCCGAGATTTGATCGTCGGTATCCAATACCTAGTTCAATCTCGTTACCGGCAAGTCTCTTTACTCGTTCCGTAATGCATCATCCCATAACCAACTCATTGGTCACATTGCTTGCAAGGCTTATAGTGATGTGCATTATTGAGAGGGCCCAGAGATACCTCTCCAACAATTGGAGTGACAAAACCTAATCTCGAAATACGCCAACCCAACATGTACCTTTGGAGACACCTGTAGTACTCCTTTATAATCACTCAGATACGTTGTGATGTTTGATAGCACCCAAAGTGTTTTTCCGGTAAACGGGAGTTGCATAATCTCATAGTTACAGGAACATGTATAAGTCATGAAGAAAACAATAGGAACATACTAAACGATCAAGTGCTAGGCTGATGGAATGGGTCATGTCAATCACATCATTCTTCTAATGATGCGATCCCATTAATCAAATGATAACACATGTCTATGGTTAGGAAACATAATCATCTTTGATTAATGAGCTAGTCAAGTAGAGGCATACTAGTGACTATATGTTTGTCTATGTATTCACACATGTATCATGTTTTCGGTTAATACAATTCTAGCATGAATAATAAACATTTATCATGAAATAAGGAAATAAATAATAACTTTATTATTGCCTCTAGGGCATATTTCCTTCAGTCGCCCACTTGCACTAGAGTCAATAATCTAGTTCACATCGCTATGTGATTTAACATCAATATTCACATCTGCATGTGATTAATACCCATAGTTCACATCATCATGTGATCAACACCCAAAGGGTTTACTAGAGTCAATAATCTAGTTCACATCGCTATGTGATTAACACCCAAAAAAGTACTAAGGTATGATCATGTTTTGCTTGTGAAAGAAGCTTAGTCAACGGGTCTATCATATTCAGAACTGTATGTATTTCGCAAATATTCTATGTCCACAATGCTCTGCACGGAGCTACTCTAGCTAATTGCTCCCACTTTTAATATGTATCTAGATTGAGACTTAGAGTCATCTGGATTGGTGTAAAAGCTTGTATCATTGTAACTTTTACGACAGGCTCTTTTATCATCTCCATAATCGAAAAACATCTCCGTAGTCCTTACTAGGATATTCTTGACCCATGTCCAGTGATCTACTTATTAGATCAAAATTGTATTCCTTTGCCAAACATAGAGCAAGGTATACAATAGGTCTGGTTCACAGCATAGCATACTTTATAGAACCTATGAGTGAGGCATAGGGAATGACTTTTCATTCTCTTTCTATTTTCTGCAATGATCGGGTCTTGAGTCTTACTCAACTTCACACCTTGTAACACAGGCAAGAACTCCTTCTTTTGCTGTTCCATTTTGAATTATTTCAAAAATTTATCAATGTACTCATTGAAAAATCTTATTAAGCGTCTTGATCTATCTATATAGATCTTGATGCTCAATGTGTAAGCAGCTTCACCAAGGTCTTGCTTTGAAAAACTCTTATTCAAGTATCCTTTCATGCTATCCAGAATTTTCATATCATTTCCAATTAACAATATGTCATCCACATACAATATTAGAAATGCTACAGAGCTCCCACTCACTTTCTTGTAAATACAGGCTTCTTCAAAAGTCTGTATAAAAACATATGCTTTGATCAACTCATCAAAGCATATATTCCAACTTCGAGATGCTTGCACCAGTCCATAGATGGATCGCTGGAGCTTGCACAATTTGTTAGCACCTTTAGGATTGACAAAACCTTCTGGTTGCATCATATACAACTCTTCTTTAAGAAAACCATTAAGGATTGCAGTTTTGTTTATCCATTTGTCAGATTTCTAAAATGCGGCAATTGCTAACATGATTCAGATAGACTTAAGCATATATATGAGTGAAAAGCTCTCATCGTAGTCAACACCTTAAACTTGTCGAAAACCTTTTGCGACAATTCTAGCTTTGTAAATAGTAACACTATCAGCGTCTGTCTTCCTCTTGAAGATCCATTTAATCTCAATGTCTCGCCGATCATTGGGCAAGTCAATCAAAGTCCATACTTTTTTTCATACATGGATCTCATCTCAGATCTCATGGCCTCAAGCCATTTTGCGAAATCTGGGCTCATCATCGCTTCCTCATAGTTTGTAGGTTCATCATGGTCTAGTAACATGACTTCCAGAACATGATTACCGTACCACTGGTGCGGATCTTACTCTGGAAGACCTACGAGGTTTGGTAGCAACTTGATCTGAAGTTTCATGATCATCATCATTAACTTCCTCACTAATTGGTGTAAGAATCACTGGAACTGATTTCTGTGATGAACTACTTTCCAATAAGGGAGAAGGTACAATTACCTCATCAAGTTCTACTTTCCTCCCACTC